GATGTTTGACCCTGACCTTTCGACCTTTCGCCACATTTTGAAAATGTGTTATCAAGCCAAAAATGATTCTTGGACCGCCCTGAACCAATTTCTGAAGTCAAATTCTCTGCCCCTTAAAGTGCATACGAAACCTGGTCTTACTCCTAGGGTATTAACATTTGCGAAATTTATATTTAATTTTCAGGTTGAACAGTCAGAAGCAGAGATAACCAAAGGTATTTTAATTATACACTACATTATGTCCATTAAGGACATCATCATCACTACCACTATAGCCATTCCACCACCACTATCATCATCGAAATTATCATCACCACCATCGTGATCATCGTCATTGTCATCATCATCATCATCACCATGATCATCATCACTATCATCATCGTCATCATCCATCATCTCACCATCTTCATTATGATATCGTCATCATCAACATTATCATCCCTATGAACATTATTATTATCATCATAATTATCAACACATTATTTTTACAGCCATCACCGCCACTTACCTTTACCATCATCATCACCACCACCGCCATGTTCCTAAAATGCATGCATTATTCATCAGCATGCCATCATAACACATCATCACCACCTCAATAAATTACAATTTGATTTATGTTCACACTTATCACTATTGATATGAAAGTTTGTTTTCATGTGTTTATAGAAAAACCTATATCTCAGTACACGGGATCAGTGACCAATCAGCTTGTCCGACATGAGAAAATATTAGAAAATATGGTTACCAAGAGTACTGGACCGATGGATGTAACTTGCATATGGGACTACGCCGGTCAGCTTGATTATTATATCACTCATCGCGTAAGTGTTAATTAATTGAACTCTAATATTTTTAAAATTACTTTTCTTGGTATATTTTACAGAAATTGTGTGAAGTGGTCTCTTTATCTAAAGATATAAACATTAATGTCTAGTAAAACCCGATGAAAGACTATCACAACAAAGCCTATTAAAATATTGAATTACTGGAATGAAAGAAGAAAACGTGATTTGAATTGATACACATATCGTATTTGCTGGTTTACTTTTGTTTCATACGAAAACAATAATTTCATCCAATTTTTATTTCATTAAGTCTATGCAACGAATATTGGAATCGTATTATTTATTTTACGAAAGAAATTATTATTTTAGTACCGGTATCTAATTTTCAAAGTAAATGATTCAAATATTAATTAATTTATTTATTTATAATTTTTTTTTACCTGATCACAGACATGTCCTCTATTTGGATCAACATGTGTTTGTAAAACCGCGTTTTGGTACTATGGCTAGTACTCTGCATACCCACAGCTGTCGTCGACGCATTCAGAAAGGCCCCTCGATTCATTGGCCTAGTTGTTCAACCGATGAGTTGTCCCATGAATAACGTACCGTAGATCCCGAATAAGCGCCGCGGCGCTTATAATAGAGGCTTCGGTGCGACGCTTATTTGAGAACGGCGGTTGGCGAAACAAAAACAAAAAATTTAAAAAAATCACGTCGTTGCGGCGCTATTTCGAGATTGGCTGTTATTTAAAGATTTATGGTAACTTGACAAAAATAGACTAAATTTTACGATGTCAAAGGTATCCTAGCCTAAGTATCCTAGCCTAAGGCCTTACAGAAGCAATTTCGGCCCGAAATATATTTTCTAGACCTTGCCTGGCTAGTCAGTAATACCATGGATAAAGGTATAAAATATATATTTTATTTTTTATGTATTATTTTATTTTTATACATTCATGGTAGTACGCCGGCGTGTTAGCGATATCGAGCGACCTCTACCGACAGTTGCCGACGACTGGCGTCGATAGTGTTTTGAAAGCCAGTTAGTCTTTGCAGAATCTGTTTTCTTATTTGCCATTTTGTGTTTTGTTTATATTTTGTATTCAATGCACATTTTCTATCTTTGTTTTCAGTTTTTCCTTACAGATGGGTCATCGTACGGAGTAGTCTTTAGTTTGTTTGATGATTTGCATAAAATGGCAAAACCAAGAGATTCCCATAAAGTTAATTTTTTTTTGCGAGTTTGGAGAGCAGCACCTTGGAGAAGGTCAAGGAGATCGGATGAAGAATTAGTAAGTCATTATTTGTTTAGGAGGAAAGAGTGCAGCGTGACCACTGCTTGGGTATTTACCCAAGATCTTGGGTATTTTGACTTGGTCTTGGGTTCTTTGGTATTCCGTTCAAATCCTTGGGTATTTTATTTTTACTAAGAAAATTAAATATTGTTGTCACAGAGGAAGAATTAAGAAGTAACAAAGGATATGTCAGTCCATTCATGGAGAAAATAAAATAATATTTTATTTTCTCCATGGTCCATTCAAGTAAGCAAAACTCAACGAAGTGCACATAACATTGTTAATTGCTATAAACATGGGTTCAGAATTGTTTATTTGTGATTTGCGTTGCCATTGATCTTAATTAATGCATTACATAATAAAACTTGATCACTGATCTACTGATAACACTGGCCGACTGAGAGCGTATTTTTCTTTCTGTATTATCACCTCGTGAATATTAATTTTAATAATTAACACAAACAATTACAATAAAAAATGGTTTATAAATTGAACTAAAAGGGAAACTATACATGCGAAAAACACGTTTTTTTTCAAATTTTAAT